CAGTGAGTGAGTGAGTCCGTGAATGAGTGAGTAAGTCAGTGAGTGAGTCAGTGAGTGAGTGAGTGAGTCAGTGAGTGAGTTTGTGTGTGTGTGTGTGAGTGAATGAGTCAGTGAGTCAGTGAGTGAGTCAGTCAGTCAGTCAGTGAGTGAGTCAGTGAGTCAGTGAGTGAGTCAGTGAGTCAGTGTGTTCGCTCTGGCGTTTCGGCACATGATGATTTGCTCTTTTGTCCGGTCGTCGCTTCGTGCATTTGTGATGTGTGTGTGTGTGTTTCGTCTTGTGATGGGAATGTTTCAGATGAGTCTGTTCAATAACGATGTGACTAATAAACCATGTCACGATTAATAATCATCATCATCGCAGGTCTTTTATGCTTTATTCAGACGTCCGTCAAACTGGTGATCTGAGTTCAGTTCGGAAGATCATAATTGTTCATTTTAGTACTTTACGTTTTATTTTAAGTAGTTTACAGAAAAGTTTTCGGCAGTCATGAGTTTTAGGTTTAAAGGAATTACAGTACATTTGCTGAAGTCAAAGTAGATCATACTGGTAATTATTATATTATATGATCATATACATTTCATATGGTGATATATTTAAATAAAATTTCTCATAAATATTGATAATGTTTTCTTTCTTCACACTGGGTATTTGCAGTAGATCTTCAAACTTTTTACATTTCAAAGAAATTTCTAAAGAAATTTCAAAGACATTTCTCATCTATAAAAAAGGGGGTAAATGAAGTAATATAATGGTAAAAAAACAATGAAAACTTTAAAACAAAATTGCTTATCAGCTGTTTAAGTTATGACTGTTTTAGAAGCTTACGTTTCATGCAAAAAGTGTGTCGAGTTTTTAATGCATTTTAATGAAGTGTAACGACCTAAAATGAATCGTGCGCGACACTATTTCCGTTTTCGGCGCGGTCATTAAAATATTCTGTATCTTTTGCATATTTCATATTTTCCTTGACAATAGTTGCACCTGATTATAAGTCGAACTGTTGAGAGAAAATAAGGCGCATTGGTGTATTTTATAATTACATTCAGAAATAATGTAAAATACAGATAAATAAAACAAAACATTATAAACGTGTTTTAGTTCCCGTCAGTCCACAACACATCCCGGAGTATATACATAACCTCAAGCCTAAACTAATCTATTTGAACTGAGAGTGCATGCTAAATAAACTAGCGTGATATTATTGTTGCAGGACGTTTGAGATTATAAAAATGCACAAAACTCTTCGATTCAGAGTTGATTTAGCGTTTGCTGTGCCGTCTGCCTCATCACACTGTATTTCATTTCAGTGTCTCCTGGTTTTTCATCAACCGTGCGTTTGTACAGTTTTAAGTCAATAGTTTCCATCATAGCTTTAGTTTAGAATAACCCCTGCACGAGTACGAGCGCGTGACACACACACACACACACACACACATCTATGGCAAGCCGTTTTAACTTTTAATCATTCGCAGGATATGAATTCTTGATAACAATGCCATTTTTTGATATCATGAATTTAATTGTTGATATCAAGAATTGAATTGCTGAAATCTGTAATTGTATTTTCACTAGTGAAATGTCACCATAGGCTGGCAAGCCGTTTTAGCTTTTATTCATTCCCAGGATATGAATTCTTGATGTCAACAATAACATTTTTTGATATCAAGAATTCAATTGTTGATATGAAGAATTACATTTATGATATCAAAAATGTAATTCTTGATATCAAAAATGTAATTCTTGATATCAACAATTGTATTTTCACTAGTGAAATGTCACCATAGGCTGCCATTCAAAACCAATTGTTGATATCAAGAATTGATTTCTTACTAGTTGAAATTCCAATTTCATATATCAAAAATACAATTATTACTAGTAAAAATATTCATTTTTGATATCAATAATTAAATTTTCACTAGTGACATTAAAAATGAATTTTTGATCTCAAGAATTGATTTTTTACTAGTAGAAATATCATTTTTGATATCAATAATTACATTGTTACTAGTTGAAATGTTTAAACAATTCAATTGTTACTAGTAAAAATGACCATTTTTGATATCTGAAAATGTATTTCTGATATCAATATTATTTCAGATATCTAAAATGGCTTTCTTACTAGTAACAATCACATTCATGATATCAGAAATTAACATCGACACTAGTAAAAATGTAATTATTGATATCAAAAATTGTATTTTCACTAGTGAAATGTCGCCATTCAAAACCAATTGTTGATATCAAGAATTGATTTCTTACTAGTTGAAATTCCAATTTCACATATCAGAAATACAATTATTACTAGTAACAACCTTTATTTATGATATCAAGAATTCAATTGTTACTAGTTGAAATGTTATTCTTGATATCCACAATTGAATTGCTACTAGTAAAAATGTTAATTTTTGATATCAATAATTCAATTTTCACTAGTGACATTCAAAATGAATTTTTGATCTCAAGAATTGATTTTTTACTAGTAGAAATATAATTTTTGATATCAATAATTACATTGTTACTAGTAAAAATGTGAATTCCTGATATCAATAATTAAATTGTAACTAGTTGAAATGTTTAAACAATTCAATTGTTACTAGTAAAAATGACCATTTTTGATATCTGAAAATGTATTTCTGATATCAATATTATTTCAGATATTTAAAATGGCTTTCTTACTAGTAACAATCACATTCATGATATCAGAAATTAACATCGACACTAGTAAAAATGTAATTATTGATATCAAAAATGTAATTCTTGATATCAAAAATGTAATAGTTGATATCAAGAATTCATATCCTGGAAATGAATAAAAGCTAAAACGACTTGATTTTGCCCAAACCGCCTTGAACTGTGTGTCGCAGCCTCTCGAGTGCATGAAACGTGAACCTGTTGCTGCTGAGTGTGTGTGTGTGTGTGTGTGTGTGTTCAGAAGTCTCACACACGCCTCGCTCGTTCTCGCCGCGGCTTGAAAGATTAATTGTAGCTCTTCTCTGAGCGCTGGAACATGTGTCGGGAATAATGGCTCTTCCTCGCCTTCCTTCAGCCCACGGCTTTAATTATCCACACACACACACACACACACACACACACTGCAAGATGATATAAAGACTGAGCAGTCGTGAGCCTCTCGCACAGATTGCATTAGTGAAAGGCGAGACGTGATGTAAAGGCCATTTGCTGGTTACCTGAGCGTGAAGCAGAAACATAATGCTATTAAAATCACTATAACATCTTACGCTGAGCGATTAAACACAGATAATGGCTTCACACACACACCGAAGAGTGTGTTTTATTCAGAAGACTGTTATACGCACTAAACGCACACATTAGATAATGTGTAAATGATGTTTTTACTGCAGGAAATGTAGTTTTGCGCAAGTCTGCGTCTCGTAAAGCTTTATTGCTATTCTTCATAAATGATGAATCAACTGGGATTATTTCCAGCGTAATTCTTTCACACACACACACACACACACTCATACCGTCTGCTGGATACCAGAGCTCTATTGTTGAGTTATCGTGTGGGATTGAGATGTTTTTGTCAGTTTTAAATGATATTTAGTTTTTCTGTGAAATGCATTTGCGATGTTAAAGACCACCGTCTCATAACTTTACACAGATTTATTCATTCCAGAATGATCAAGATGATGTTGTTGTGGAGGGCATCTGTTTAAAACATAAAAATAACCCTGAACAGATATTACTCACTGTGTTCTTGGATTGCGAACCATCATTTGGAAAAGCTTTGGTCGTTCATGTTCATATTTATGTATTAAATATGATCAGGTTTATTAGTTCATCTTTGTATTGTGTTTCAAAACTACAGAGATTTGATCATGAAACTAAGCATTAAATATCATCTGACTAAGATATGTCATTGACAGATATAGATATATATATATATTTTATGTAAGTATCAGCTGTACTGTTATAAAGATCTCACTGATTTACGTTAAACACATCAGAATTTCAGGTAAATATCAGCATCTGCATATTGTTGCTCTGTTTTCCCTCTATGTTCTCACTATATGAGCCATATATTATTGACAGATATTGATATCATATGTATTTTATGCAATATATATATATTTTAAATATTTAATATGAGGTGTAATATTGTTTAGATGATGAATCTGACTGTTAGTGCCGGTTAAAGGAGTAGTTCACTTTTCAAAAAACTTTTGCTGATAATTTACTCGCCCCCGTGTCATCCAAGATGTCCATGTCTTTCTTTCTTCAGTCGAAACGAAATTAAGGTTTTTGATGAAAACATTCCAGGATTTTCTCCATATAATGGACTTCAATGGGGTCCAAATGAGAGTTTCAGTGCAAACTGTTCAAAGGGCTTTAAACGACACCAGACGATTAATAAGGGTCTTATCAAGCGAAACGATCGCTCATTTAATAAATAAATAATAAAGTTTAAGTTTTATATAAGCACAAATGCTATAAGCTCTTTTTCTGAATCAATTCGTTCGTTTCTTTCGCCGAATGAACCAAATGACTCGGAAAAAGATTTGTTCATTTTGATGAACGAGTTCGAACAGGAGTGCGTTACAGAACAGAGCAAGGCAAGCGTTTGAGCTTATAAAACTTAAACTTTGTTATTTATTTATTAAATGAGCGATCGTTTCGCTTGATAAGACCCTTATTCATCGTCTGGAGTCGTTTAAAGCCCTTTGAACAGTTTGCATTTTGTACTGAAACTCTCATTTGGACCGTGAACCGTTTGGACCCCATTGAAGTCCATTATATGGAAAAAAATCCTGGAATGTTTTCATCAAAAACCTTCATTTCTTTTCGACTGAAGAAAGAAAGACATGGACATCTTGGATGACACGGGGGCGAGTAAATTATCAGCAAAAGTTTTGTTCAAAAGTGAACTACTCCTTTAAAGCAGTGATTGTGAGTCGATGTGAGCGTGAGTGAGTGTGTGTCCTCTGTTCAGTACCGTGAGTGAGTGTGTGTGTATATTCTGGTCCTCCACTTCTCCCAGTCACCTGTCCCAGTCCAGCTCTCTGGAGGAGGTCCGGGTGGATGTGGAGAAGTTCGTGCCTCCAGCGCCCAGAAAGGTTGAAATGAGACGCGACCCGGTTCTCGGCTTCGGCTTCGTGGCGGGCAGCGAGAAACCAGTGGTGGTTCGATCCGTCACTCCAGGTATCCAGCAAACTCTAAATCAATCACTTTTTAACTTTAGATTGTACGTTTTTATGAAAAATGCAGAAAGTGTTGTGTGACGGACAGGTTTAGCGGTTGTGTTAGTGTGAGGAGATAAAATACCGTATACAGTTTGGACAATATAAAACCATTAAGTCTATGGAAGTCCTCATAAAACGCGTGTGTGTGTGTGTGTGTGCAGGAGGTCCTTCAGAAGGGAGGCTGATCCCCGGAGACGAGATCGTGATGATAAATGATGAAGCCGTGAGTTCGGCTCCGAGGGAACGGGTCATCGATCTCGTCAGGTACTGGACACCATTGTTCCCATCTGAGTTTAATCATCAGATGACCGTGAGCTGTGATTTAAGCTTTTCAAACACACACGAGAGATCTTGCCTTTATGTGGTGTGTGTGTGTGTGTGTGTTTTGCAGGAGTTGTAAGGAGTCGATCATCCTGACGGTGGTTCAGCCGTACCCTGTGAGTCTGATGTTCACCGTCCTCTATAGATTAACATGTTAGTTCGTTAGTGTCTCGAATGAGTTTAAATCTAAAATTTTAAAATCACCAATAAAAGTCTGCAGATCAGCGTCATTGATTTACTACTAGTGTTTTTAATATTGTGAAATAGATTTTATTTTTATATAGATATAGATTTTTACTTTCACTTGAAAGTTTTAGTATTTTTTTGATTTTTTGAAAAAATGTTTTATGTCTGTTTAGTTTTTTTTATAACGGTATAACTTATATTTCAGCTGTAATTATAGTTAATGATAATAATCCATTTATTTTTGTGCAACTCTTTCAAAAACCTTTAGAAAAAATATAGGAATTAATATGATAAAGCTAAAACTTACTTTTTAGTTTGACTTAAAATTTTGTTTAATTTCAATTTCAATTAATTGTTATTTTATTTCATGTAACAAAAATATTTGTTATTAGCTCTAGTTTTAGTTAACGATAATAATGCTGATGCAGAATTTTTTTTATATCTTATTTTGTTTTAGTTAATGTTTATTTAATTTCAAATAGCTAAAATGGCTTTTTATGGTTTTAATTTTAGTTAACAATAAAATGCTGCAGATTCCATCTAAAACAGTATTTATTTCGAATGCTCTTTTTATATATTTTATTTCAGTTAATGTTTATTTCAAGTAACGAAAAATGTTTTTTGTTACTTTTTTAACTGTAATTTTAGTTAACGATGCTGCCTATTTTTTTATATCACATTTTCTGCCTATTTTTTATAATAGTTTTTTAAAAATAATTTTGTTTTAGTTAATGTTTTTTTTTTTAAATAACGAAAATTTTTATGATTTTTATGTTAGTTACCAATAAAATGCTGCCGATTCCATCTAAAACAGTATTTATTTCGAATGCTCTTTTTATATATTTTATTTCAGTTAATGTTTATTTCATGTAACGAAAAAGGTTTTTTAACTTTTTTAACTGTAATTTTAGTTAACGATGCTGCCTATTTTTTTATATCACATTTTGTTTTAGTTACATTTTTAAATAACGAACATTTTTATGTTAGTTAGCAATAAAATGCTGCAGATTCCATCTAAACCGTCTCAGGTTGCGACTGTAACCTATGTTCCCTGAGAACAGGGAACGAGACAACACGTCTCCATAGCGTCATTCGACGTATTGTTGAGTTTCCTTCGAAAGGGAACTGTTTATTTACTTCAAATGCTCTTTTTTTATATTTTATTTTAGTTAATGTTTATTCCAAGTTTTTACATTTTTTAACTGAAATTTTAGTTAACGATGCTGCCTATTTTTTATAATAGTTTTTTTTAAATAATTTTGTTTTAGTTAATGTTTTTTTTAAATAACGAAAATTTTTATGATTTTTATGTTAGTTACCAATAAAATGCTGCCGATTCCATCTAAAACAGTTTATTTATTTTGAATGCTCTTTTTATATATTTTATTTCAGTTAATGTTTATTTCAAGTAACGAAAAATGTTTTTTTTAACTTTTTTAACTGTAATTTTAGTTAACGATGCTGCCTATTTTTTTATATCACATTTTGTTTTAGTTACATTTTTAAATAACGAACATTTTTATGTTAGTTAGCAATAAAATGCTGCAGATTCCATCTAAACCGTCTCAGGTTGCAACTGTAACCTATGTTCCCTGAGAACAGGGAACGAGACAACACGTCTCCATAGCGTCATTCGACGTATTGTTGAGTTTCCTTCGAAAGGGAACTGTTTATTTATTTCAAATGCTCTTTTTTTATATTTTATTTCAGTTAATGTTTATTCCAAGTTTTAAAATTTTTTTGAACTGTAATTTTAGTTAACGATGCTGCCTATTTTTTATAATAGTTTTTTTAAAATTTGTTTTAGTTAATGTTTTTTTTAAATAACGAAAATTTTTATGATTTTTATGTTAGTTACCAATAAAATGCTGCCGATTCCATCTAAAACAGTTTATTTATTTCGAATGCTCTTTTTATATATTTTATTTCAGTTAATGTTTATTTCATGTAACGAAAAAGGTTTTTTAACTTTTTTAACTGTAATTTTAGTTAACGATGCTGCCTATTTTTTTATATCACATTTTGTTTTAGTGAAATTTTTAAACAATTTGACTCCATAGCGTCATTCGACGTATTGTTGAGTTTCCTTCGAAAGGGAACTGTTTATTTATTTCAAATGCTCTTTCTTTATATTTTATTTCAGTTAATGTTTATTCCAAGTTTCTAAATTTTTTTGAACTGTAATTTTAGTTAACGATGCTGCCTATTTTTTTTTATAATAGTTTTTTTTTTTTTTAAATAATTTTGTTTTGGTTAATGTTTTTTTTAAATAACAAAAATTTTTATGATTTTTATGTTAGTTACCAATAAAATGCTGCCGATTCCATCTAAACCTGTTTATTTCTTTCGAATTTTATTTCAGTTAATGTTTATTTTATTTCAAGTAAACCAAAAAATGACATTGGCATGTCGGTGACGTTGTTGCTCTGTTATTCCCCTTCAGTCGCCCAAATCTGCCTTCATCAGTGCGGCTAAAAAGGCCAAGCTGAAATCCAACCCGGTCAAAGTGCGCTTTGCTGAAGAAGTCATTATTAACGGACAAGTGCCGGTGAGTGAAAAACGAGACGTTTGGCTTGGAGAATGTGACATTTCTGATATTCAGGGAGAAAAACACAGTTGGGTTCTGGGATTGATTGGATTGTGAGTCAGGTGATGAACGTAAGAGGATTGGTGAGAGTGTTATTGAGCGACACACGTTACATAAATCACTGTGTTGGTTATTAACAGTGCATTACAGTGTTTCGTAATTAGTGGCACCACAAGAGGTTATTTGTTAAAATGATGCAGGCTCATGTTTGTGATTTATTAAACTCACGAGCAGGAATCGGTGAAGGATAACTCTCTGCTCTTCATGCCAAACGTGCTGAAGGTGTATCTGGAAAACGGACAAACCAAATCCTTCAAGTTTGACTGCAACACCTCCATTAAGGTATTAAAACACAGCAAAAGTGTTTCATTCACAAATCACTGCCGCCACATTGTAGGGGCAGCCGGATAACGATTTAACGGTCGGCAAACACACACATACAGTATATATATGATGTAATAGCAAGCAATGTTTACACTCGAGTTAAACACTACTGTTCTAAAGATTATATTTTAATACTTTTGTTCACATTAGATTGATCAAAAGTGACTGTAAAGGCATTTATGTTACAAAAGATTCTATTTCAAATAAATGCTGAACTTTCTATTCATCAAAGAGTCCTGAAGAATAACATGAAAAACACTGATAATAATCATAAATGTTTGTTGATCATCAGATCCTCATATTAGAGTGATTTCTGAAGGATCATGTGACTCTGAAGACTGGAGTAATGATGATAAATTACACTTTACTGTATATTCACACAGAGAACAGATGATTTACATTACAATAATATTTCACATTTTTTACTATATTTTTGATCAAATAAATGCCGCTTTAATCAGCAGAAGAGACTCTCTCTTGAACATTACGTCACCCAAACATTGTCCGGTAGTGTAAGTGGATGTGGATGTCGTTGATCTCCGCTGAGAGGAATAATAGAGATGTTCTTCTGTTTGAAAGGATGTTATTCTGACGCTGCAAGAGAAGCTGTCGATTAAAAGCATCGAGCACTTCTCTCTGATGCTGGAGCACAAGATGGACGGATCTGCAACCAAACTGATGCTTCTTCACGAGCAGGAGATGCTGATGCAGGTCAGTGTCACATCACTAACAGATGGATGGATGATGGATGGATGTATGGATGTATGGATGGATGATTGGTGATGGATGATGATGGATGGATGGATGAAGTATGGATGGATGGATGGATGGATGGATGGATGGATGATGGATGATGGATGATGGATGGATGGATGGATGATGGATGATGGATGGATGGATGGATGATGGATGATGGATGATGGATGGATGATGGATGATGGATGATGGATGGATGGATGGATGATGGATGATGGATGATGGATGATGGATGGATGGATGGATGATGGATGATGGATGATGGATGGATGATGGATGATGGATGATGGATGGATGGATGGATGATGGATGATGGATGATGGATGATGGATGGATGATGGATGGATGATGGATGGATGGATGGATGATGGATGGATGATGGATGGATGGGTGATGGATGGATGGATGAAGTATGGATGATGGATGATGGATGGATGGATGGATGGATGATGGGTGATGGATGATGGATGGATGATGGATGGATGATGGATGGATGATGGATGGATGGATGAAGTATGGATGATGGATGGATGGATGGATGGATGGATGGATGATGATGGATGGATGGATGGATGTAGATAGTGAGTAACAGTGCGTTGTTGTTTCTCAGGTCACTCAGAGACCAGGATCACACAAGATGAAATGTTTTTTCCGCATCAGTTTTCTCCCGAAGGACCCGGTGGATCTTCTGAGGAGAGACGCCGTCGCCTTCGATTACCTCTACGTCCAGGTGCAGTTTATCCTCAACGCTTCATCTCTTCAGTCTCGCTGCTCCTCCAGGAAATGTGTCTGGATATTAGTGCTGGAGAACGAGACAGAAACAGCAGTTCTGTGTAGAGTATAAATGTTAAAGTGGAGTCTCCTTCATCTCTACAGCGCTTTAACACTATAGAGTTTCACAGCAGCGTTACAGGAGATTACAGTCACAGAGAGTTTACAGCAGATCTAGAATACAGTTACTGTCCAGATAAAGTTAGTTTCGATTCACTTCTGTTGCTGAGAAGAGAAGAGTGTTTCTCCTGCTGAAGTGTGTGTGTGTGTGTGTGTGTGTGTGTAGAGCTGTAAGGACGTGGTTCAGGAACGCTTCGGCTCCGAGCTCAAATACGACACGGCTCTCCGTCTGGCGGCTCTTCAGATGTACATCCTCACGCTCAGCACCAAGCAAACGCAGAAAGTGTCTCTCAAGTACATCGAGTGAGTTTTACACACACAGTGATGACTACACACACACTCCAACATCAGGCTTTCACACACCCGGGAATTTAAACTTACCGGCCATTCAGAACTTCTACTAGCCAAAAAAAGACAATAAATAAACCGAACTAACGACGTTACAGTGGGGCTGTCAAACGATTAATCGCATCCAAAATAAAAGTTTGTGTTTACATAATATATGTGGGTGCACTGTGTATAATTATTTTATATATATAAATGCACACAAATGCTTGCATATATTTAAGAAATATGAAGAGTTCAGATGCAAAAGCCTCTAAATGCCATTTGAAATTTTCTTCTTTAATGATGATTTTTATCAAACTTGTATATTTAAGTCAATTAATAGGTAATTATCATTGCCATTTAAGTGAAATTACTTAACTTAAATATACAAGTTTGATAAAAATCATCATTAAAGAAGAAAATTTCAAATGGCATTTAGTGGCCTTTGCATCTGAACTCTTCATATGTTCATGTATATACTGTATATAGATTTATATTATATATAAATATCAATATTTGGTAAATATACATGCATGTGTGTATATTAATATATGTGAATAGTGTGACCCGAGTGTGTGTCCTCAGGAAGGAATGGGGTTTGGCCCAGTTTCTGCCTCCAGCGGTTCTGTCCAGCATGAAGGAGAAGAACATCAAGAAAGCTCTCACACACATCCTCAAAACCAACCAGAACCTGGTGCCTCCTGGGAAGAAGGTGAATGTGCATGTCATATCCAGATCTCGAGCTGCCGTTGAGAATCCAGATTCCTCCACGCGTCTCAGATTAAGAAATAGAGTCGGATTGTCATGATAGCGGAGGAATTACACCATTCTCAATGCCAGTGACTCTCAATTAATTATTTCAAGATATTTATATACATATATATATATATATATAGACAGACCACCATATCGGACGATATATGTTCATTTTTAATGTTATTGTTATCGGCCTGATAAGAATATATATATATATATATATATATATCATCTGATAATTAATGTATTATTTCCCTCAACTGAGATGCGCACTGATCAACATGATGGATTTGAAATGCTTGAAATTATTAGAATCTCTTCAAAAAAGGGAAATACATTAAAGTGCAACACAAGTCTGTCATATCGGCTACATAACATCATAATGAGAACATCATAACTGTGTGTTTGGGACGTGGATTTAATGATGAGACTTGTGTTTTTGTAAACAGTCTCTCAAAAATTATATAAAAATATGGATTTAGATTTATCACCCGATCTATCGGTTGTGAGCGTTCAAATATAAATAATTATCGGTTATTGGTATCGGCCAAGATTTTAATATCAGTGCATATATATACATATATATATATTAGGGCTGTGCAAAAATTAATTGCGATTAATCGCATCCAAAATAAAAGTCTGTGTTTACATAATATATTTGTGTGTGCTGTATATAATATTTTGTATATATAAATACCTATGCATGCATGTATATATTTAAGAATTATGTGCGCTTAAATTCTGTGTATATATATATAAATACATAATCTATATTATATAAATATTTTATATATGAATAACACATTTTCTCAAATATATACATGCATGTGTGTGTGTATTTATATATACAAAATAATTATATACAGCACACACAAATATATTATGTAAACACAGACTTTTATTTTGGATGCGGTTAATCGCAATTAATTTTTGCACAGCCCTAATATATATATACAGGTGAAACTCAAAGTTCATTCATTTCAGTAATTTAACTTAAAAGGTGAAACTAATATATTCTATAGTCTCATTACATGCAAAGTGAGATATTTCAAGCCTTTATTTGTTATAATTGTGATGATTATGGATTACAGATATGAAAACCTTTTCACAATATTCTAATTTTGAATTTGGGGTTTTCATAAGCTGTAATCCATAATCATCACAATTATAACAAATCAAGGCTTGAAATATAATAAATTAGTTTCACCTTTTAAGTTGAATTATTGAAATGAATGAACTTTTGTTTGATATTCTAGATATAATCAGATCAGATATAATGTACTGTTTCACATGCGTTGAAGCTGACGGCGTTGCAGGCGAAGGTCCACTACCTGAAGTACCTGAGCGATCTGCGGCTGTACGGAGGACGAGTGTTCAAATCCACGCTGGTCGTAAGTACACACACACACACACACTCGCTCTCTGAGCCGCGGGACATCCGCGCAGATCAGGACAATCAGCAGAACATCACAAACTACACTTTTACATATATGCAACTTAGGTTTTTTTAGTTTTGCTTTTATTATCGTGGAACATTTACATATATTCACTTAGCAGACACTTTTATTTTTATCTTAAATTTAAAACTTTTCTTAAATTTTTAATGCTATCGTTATCAGGCCGATAAGAAAATGTGTCTGATATATTAAAGCCGATAATTAATGTATTATTTCCTTCAGATCCGCACTGATCAACATGATGGAGTTGAAATACTTGAAATTATTAGAATCTCTTCAAAAACGGGAAACACAAGTCTGTCATATCGGCTACATAACATTATAATGAGAACATCATAACTGTGTGTTTGGGACGTGCCTTTTAATGATGAGGCTTTTGTTTTTGTAATCAGGCTCTAAAAAATTATATATAAATGTGGATTTAGATTTATCGGCCAATGTATCGGTTATCAGCGTTCAAATATAAATAATTATCGGTTATCGGCCAAAATTAAAAATAAAACACGTTTTTTTTAGAATTGTTTCCTTCACCGGAATGATTTTGGCACTTGCTGTGTGAACATAAAACAATCACGGACATGTGGACAAAAAATGTGAGATATCAACTCAGATTTGTAAAACAACTTAAGTTTATATTTATGGATTTGAGTTTCTTGCAGTTTTAGAGTTAAACGTGTTTTTGAAAATATATATTTCATATAAAAATATAAAATAGTTTTGTTTTAATATTTCTTATAACAATAAATGTAAAATTCTGTTGTTGTTTTTTTCACTTCAGCAAAAATCTGCCACGTGTTTTCTTTAAAAAGAGACCAAACTTCAGTCTGTGCTCAAAAGCATTCAAGATTTATGATATATTAAAGTCGTAAATTAAATTTTCCATGGTCTATGGTCAAAAAGTGAATTAATGGATTATTAATACAGCGTAAATATAATTGAATACCATAAAATTCTTTGACCCGACAGCAAGGAGAGAAACACACGGAGGTGACGCTGCTCGTGGGCCCGCGGTACGGCATCAGTCATGTGATCAACACCAAGACCAATCTGGTGGCTCTGCTGGCCGACTTCAGCCACGTCAACCGCATCGAGATGTTCACCGAGGACGAGCGCAGCGTGCGCGTCGAGCTCCACGTCTTGGATGTTAAGGTGCGTCGGATCGAACCCAGAGCTGCATATTTTGCAATGACATTCAGAGATTTTGTGAGTATAACACGGTTTTGGTTTTGTTTTATAGACCTCCACGTGAATTACAAGAGTTTTTACAAACTATATCCCTTTTTTTCCATCATCCCTTTAATCTAATTCTAATAATGAAAACAGGAATTAATAATCCGTAGTTCTCGAAAGTTTTATAAAACAAATTATATACTGTATATAATATAAAATACGGTAACACTTGACAATAACGCTGTTCTCTTCTTACATCAAGACACATTTACTGGAGAAGAAGCAAAATGACTAAAGATATAATGTGTTTTCTGAAAAATATATTGAAATTAAATATGTGCCAGTGGGGTCATAAAAATAAAACAAATTTTCCCTAGACTTGGCAGATATTTCAAGTTCATTTTATTTATATAACACATTTTATAGCAGCTTTACAGGAGATTTGCTCGTTTTAAACTCCATTTTTCAGAAACCAAATCTTAATATCTTCAGTCATTTCCCTTCTCCAGTAAATCTTGATTTAAGAGTGTTTAGATATTTGCACATATTAATGCAGTGATTAATCTGAACTAACAGTGAACAAGCATGTATTAATCTTTTCTAATGTTAATCTCAAACTTTTTAAGATCAGTCGACATTAGTTAATGGACTGAGATCAGCACAAACATGTTTATAACTAAGATGAATAAAGGTTAATAAATACTGTAAAAATGCATTGCTCATTCATGTTCGGGAATGCATTAATAAATGAGTCCGTATTGTAAGGTGTCATCTAAAATAAAAAAATCTATAGTACTTGGTGGATATTTTTGATATTTAATATTAATAAATTAAAAGCATTTATTAAACAACACATTTGACTGTTAGCACTGTTATTAATGATGGTTTAGGACACCTCTTACCTGTAGGAACATCTCTGGTTTATGTTCTGATTGTTAAATCCTTTGTTCCTGAAGCCCATCACACTTATAATGGAGTCGAGTGACGCGATGAACCTGGCGTGTCTGACGGCCGGCTACTACAGACTGCTGGTCGATTCACGGCGCTCCATCTTCAACATGGCCAACAACAGCAGCGCTGCGGGTAAGATCTGCACATATAACAGTTTAGAGTAATGATTATCGGCATTTAAGGCAAACGTACAAGTGTGACGCTTTCTCTTAGTATGTTACTGGTGAAACTCAAAAAAATATAATATCGTGCAAAAGTTCATTTATTTCAGTAATTCAACTTAAAAGGTGAAACTAATATATTATATAGACTCATTACATGCAAAGTGAGATATTTCAAGCCTTTATTTGTTATAATTTTGATGAATATGGATTACAGATATGAAAACCCCAAATTCAAGCCATACGTAAGAAATAATCATCAAAATTATAACAAATAAAGGCTTGAAATATCTCACTTTGCATTAGTTTCACCTTTAAAGTTGAATTACTGAAAACATTTGCACGATATTAAAATTTTTCGAGTTTCACCTGTATGTTAATTATACATTCATAATGAAAAATAGAATATAAGGAACTATCAAGAAATGCGTGAATACAGTAGGAAAAAATAGTGTATGTAGAATATAAGAGCAAAATTTTATTTGATATAAAAAAACTTAATTAAAATGCTAAAAACACATTAAAATCAAGATAATTTTTCCACCTCATAACTGATGTAAAACGGCAACTTTTTTACAGAATCAATTTGATGTACGTTACCAATACCTCCAGTTTCTTTTCATCTTTGAGCATCTTTGTCATAATTGCAGCAGAAATACTTGACTAAACATCAAATATCACTGCAAACGATGATGTGTTTCTGTCTCGTTTTCCAGCACAAATATCTAAAAGCTCTTAAATCAAGACACGTTTACTGGAAAAAGCAAAATGACTGAAGATTTTTTGTCAAACAATTATCAAAGTTTGTGCTTAAAACACGGACAAATATTTGCCAATGTAGTCATAGAAACTTTATTCAAAAAGAAAACAAGATTGACTCGTTCTCGTTTTAAGCAACTTGCCGTTGTAAAGTTACTTGTACTGTAGTTAGAAGAATGGGTAACACTTTATTTCGATAGTCCACTTTAGACATTATACTAACTATAAGTAACTTTTCAACTACATGTCAACTAACTGTCATTAGAGGATTAGTAGACTGACAGCTTAATATCTGCTAACACTTTATTTTGTTGGTCCCAACTGACTATAAGTAACTCGGCGCTACAAGTAAACTTATTCTCCTAACCCGAACCCTAACCTGACAGTCTACTATAATATACTAATACTCTAAGTAGTTGAAAAGTTACTTATAATTAGTAGAACGTCTAAAGTGACTATCGAAATAATGTTTAAAGTGGATCATCGAAATAGATATGTACCGGAAAACAAGACAAAAGTACTGAGGAAGAACATCATGTTTTGCAGTGATAATAGGGCATAATATATTGGACATTAGGGGTCCTTTTCCAGTCAAAAAGATTTAAGCTGAAACGTTGACGTTGGCATCTTCTTTTCTGTTTGTTTGTCTAAGGACATGACTCAAGGATCAAGCACAACTACCAGGCAATCGACTGGAATTACGTTCCAAGTGGCGAATACGACGACCCCCACGCCGAATACCCCGTCTGCGGGCGAAGAGAGTGTGATTTTGGCCCCAGCGTCTCTGAAATCCACCAGTCGCATCGTCTGCACGTGGAGGACAAGGCGGAGAGGGCGAGCCGGGGAAGCCACGTGCACCCGCAGCCCTACTTCAGCGTCCCCAAAGGCAAACCTCAAGAATCGCCCAGAAGCGCCAAGGTGTCCTTCATATTTGGCGAGCCGCCGCTGGAGTGCGTGAACCCGCAGAACTTGGGATACCAAAGACTGATGGAGGACATCCCAGAAGTGCTGGAGGAGCACCGGTACATGTACGCGCAGCAGAAGGACTACAAGCCCCTGGAGGCATCGATGGAGGTGGACGGCTTCCAGTACGGCTCCCACATGGTCTACGGAGACGCCAAGATCTTCGGCACCACGGAAGGCATCGAGGAGCCTCTGCTGCACGACATCTGCTACGCCGAGACTACGGATGACGCCGAAGACGACGACGACATCAGCTGCGAGGAGGACATGATGATGATGATGATGGGGGAGATGAAGGACAAAGCTCACTCTCTCCTGTCGCTCTCGGAGTCGAGCGACGACATAATCGACCTCACCTCGCTCCCTCCGCCTCCTGAAGGGGGCGACGAGGAGGACAACGACGACCTGTTGGAGTCGCTGAACTTGGCGATCGCCGCTCCGCCGCCCGGGTTCAGGGACAGCTCGGATGAAGACGACCACCAAGACCGGAAGAGCAAAAACGACATCCCCGTGTCGCTGATCGACTCGGTGCCAACGGTGGCGGGCGGGAGCGAGGAGGTGTTCAACGACGCTGTCGTCTCCACACTACAAGCTCTCGAGGCCTTGGCCGCCTCCGAGGAACAGTCTCACCCGCAGTCGGACAATAGTTCAGGTTCTTACACTATAGTAACGTTTATTCATTGACGTTGTAGGACCTTCCAGCCATTCTTTTATTTTGGTTTTGTTTCTCCATTGTCTTCGACGCGAGCCCCGTGTATTGTGTGCATTTCTTTCGTTTGCTATGTACATGTGATCTCATTATACTTTGTGGTTCCTTTTTGTTGATGTATTTCATTATTTATGCTGCATTTCATAGCCTGCAACGTTTTGTACAAATAAACTATTTTAAAGTATACAGGACGTGTGGTGTGATGGCTAAAATGTTTGTCTCTTTGTGACACACAGGTGTAGAAATATCTCGGTCCTTTAGCCCCGAGTCCTCTTCTGATTCTGGGAATGAGACAAATTCCTCCGAAATGACGGAGAGCTCAGAGCTGGCCGCGGCTCAGAAACTCTCCGAAAACTCTCTGAAAATGTTGGTAGCCACTGCGGAAGGCTACCAAACTCTAGCCGAAGAGGAGACCGAGTTTCGATTGGCGCCGCGTCGATCCCTAGACGATCCCCAGTCCTCCGCGCTTCACTCGGATCACTTCGAGATGGAGCCGGAAACGATGGAAACCAAGTCGTTGACGGACTACTTCAAAAAAATGCACAGGGATGTGATGATGGGAATGCCGAAGATCGAGGAGGGGAAACCGAGCGCTGATGCGGAAGCCTCTCAGATGAACGTCGCAGAATCAGAAGAACTTGTCGGGATCTACAACAACTTCAATGGACGAGATTCCCAGCGTTCGAGTCCCTTCGACAGGGATAGGATGTCTTATGCATTTCACGAAAGCAATCACAGATTGCATATGCTTCGGAACGATAAATCCGAAGAGCACATTTACTCCGAAGTGGCTGGCGACAGCGGTCCATTGCACGCAGACAGGGTAGCGCAAAAAGCCACTTTGGAGGAGTCAACGGACTTGAACACGAGTTCCCCCGCCAAAGAACAATATCTGATCGAGCGATCCCGGAACGAACCCCAACAGAGCAAGCCGGCTTCCTCCGAACAAGAAGTGGCGCGGTTGTACGAGTACCACTTGTCCAAAAGGCTGTCGTCTTTACAGAGCGAGGGGAATCATTCCCTGCAGAGTTCCCAGTGCTCGTCCATCGACGCCGGCTGCAGTACGGGAAGCAGTACGCCGATGGACTCTCCTCTGTGCACGGTAGATAGCGTCCATCTGCACGCCGAGTCCTCTCTGAAAGGCCAGAGTGTAGATGGAACGTTTTTGCGGAAACACCACGGACAGGCCGGCTCCGAGTCGGGCCGGGAGGGATGCCAAAGGTTGCCCAAGATCAGAGAAACTACAGGTACTTGCATTTACATTCAGAGTTATGCGTTCGGCAGAAGCGAGTTACGTTTCGTTCAAGGTACACATTTCATCATTTCTTGCTTTTCCTGGGAATCGAACCCATGATCATTGGTGCTGCTCGTTTCTGCTTAACAAGTTGACATTTAGCTAACCTAATGCATTTATAATGCCCTCAATTGTCCAGATAAGGGGGCAAAAATACCCCTGTATGTCTTTTATATTTATATAATTTAATATAGTTTATCAATATCATACGTAGAGTGTCGATTTTTTTTACTCGAAATATCGGCAAGATTACAAATGTGATCTTGATTTACAACTGTTCAATAAACAAAGAAGTTAATATTAAGTGACTTACATTTTAGACTCAAAATTGCTCTATTTCGCCTACGAAAATAGTTCCAAACAAAGACACAGGACTGTTTTGTGTCTCTGAGCGACACTGATTGAATGTATGATTCAATGATTTGCTCAAGTGCATTTCAAATGAATCATCTGTTTGTTTGAACGAATCGGTTGAATGAATGATTCAATGACTCACTCATTAACAGTGCTGCCACCTACTGGCGGTTTTAATTTCACATTTGAAGTCTCTTCATTTTTAAAATCATTATGAATAGCAATATTCAACGTTTTATGTTTAATGTCCACGATATCCCTCTGAGCTTCATTAAACAGTCTGTGTAAATGCGACTGATTTAATTTGATTGGTAAGACACTGTTGTGTCTTATTAATCTAACTATATTTTATTAAAGCTACAATACCTAAGATTTTATGCCGCTAGAGGGCGCTACATTCAAAACAACAACAACGGCTTTGCTTGATGACGCCGTGGAGGAACGCGGAATGATGGGAACTGTTGTTTTCAACTCCACCGTGAATAAATCAGTCAGACGGGAATCGAAAATTAGTTGTCGCGGATGAGGTAAAGTTCGATTTCTATAAACGTTGCGTTTAATGACATTCTTGTTTTTCATTAAACTGAAATAACCGCGAGAAAAGTCAGGTTTAAAAGTAAATTAGTTATTATCACAGATGTTAGGGGAGAGCCGGGACGGTTGAAACACTTTTCAGATAAACGTCGTTTTCTAAGATACAGCCAACAGTTCACATTCCGAGAAGTATTCGCGGTGAATATGACCTTACGATTTTTCGCATCATATACATAGACAACAAGACATTCTAACAATAATACTAATTGTTTTGCATCGTTTACCGACATGAAATTTGAATACAGAACACGGTGTTACTCACCTGTCAAGTAAAACACATGCAAGATCGGCGTCTCTTTCTAGTTCGAGTTTTTCACGAAGTTCTCTCCATTTAGGAAATGCCACACCGATGTTGAGCTGGTTTTATTTCTCTTGTCCCAAATTCTTCTTGTGTCTCGTTTGGTTGACCCGTTCGTTGACGTTTGCGTTTATGAGACTTGTCTTTGTCGACAGAACCAGGTGCAATCGCTAAAGAATAATTGTGCTCCATTCCATAACAAATGCGCGAAACAAGCTGACGTTTGTTGCTTGATAGACGCGAACGCACAACTACAACTTCCGCATTTGTCCAGGACTACACGCAGTACGAGCGGAAACCGAGGTAACGCAGATATTGACGCGATTGACTAGCGACTCCCAGCCCCGTTTCCTTGGTTAAAATCTCAATTTTCTCACGATTTAAACATTGTTTGAAACATTTGGAATATTGTAAGTTATCATCTGAACTAAATATATAACACTGGCCTTGTGATTTTGGGGTATTTTAATGCAAAAATCTTAGGTATTCCACCTTTAAATGTAAGAATTTGACACGAATGATGATGCATACATTTAATCAGATTGGGTTTAAAATTGCCCATTAAAGATAAAAATCTATTTAAATGTACTTTGATTTTTTTATGTGAATATTGCACAACGCTACGTCTGGCAAACTGTAACTGAAATATTGCAGTATTTTATCTTCTCAGTTGTCATTGCTCTGTCGATGACGCACCGTTTGAGGACGTCCTGCTCTCGTGCATTTACTGCTGTCATATTTTTCTATTTGATAATCATTGATTGAACTGCTCCTCCACGGCTGTGCCGGTCCATCAGTCGCGGCGCTGCTGACTCACTCATGCTGCAATCAGTCCACACTCCTTCACTACACAAAAGCACTTTGACTAGTTACGTGACTTGCAACCAAAGCACTATTTTGATTTTGGAGTGTCATACTAAAGGAGGTGAATTCCTATGACAGATTGATATTTAATCTTTATTTAAAGGTGAAAATATTCAATGTTGAGCTGTAATTATGTTGAGCTAAAACAGAATTCTATACTGTACGTTCTATACTCTAATGCAGAAATGACATGCTTAACCTTCATCTGGTGTTTTGCATATTTTAAGTCTTAATTAGAACTTCCTGGTTTGGACCATTAAGGCTAGCGTAGAGCGTTTCTCCAGTGTCGCTCGCGGGATTATCACTGACGTCATTACCGCAACATATCAGGAGATTCAGACGCATGAAATTACGAGACATAATGCTAACTCATCCCTCTCTTCTCTTCCGTCCCCAGTCTAGCACACTGCAGACGGAGACACAGCCGAAGATCATCTACTCTCACGAATCGTCCATGTTCATCACAGCACGGGTTCCTACGGTCCACCAGGGGCGATCGCAGGTCCGGGACGCTCTCGGCCTCGGACGCCCCGCTCTGGAGGCGGAAAGGGAATCTTTACATGACAACTATTGGCTCAGGGAGCATTGACACTTTTTATGGAAACCGCAACAGATGGTCATAATCATCCGAGCCGATCACAACCCTGCCCTTCTTAAAGTCAACATGAAACTCATTTTACTTCCATACCGTGATATTTAGTTGCATCCACGGGGGTTTTGTTGGATTGTGAAGAGTGGGCATGGATGGAGTCTAGTGGCTGAAAAAGAAAAGGGATTTATTGTTATTTGTTAGCGCTGCAGTGATGCCATATTTTTGTAAGTTTGCATCAAAAAACACTTTTCCTTTTGGATTTCTGCAGACCAAAGCTTACACGTTTTGTTCATCATGATAATCTTCATAAACTAACACAACTTTTGAAGCCTAAATACAGTCGGCGCAAGAGCTAAACATAGGCTATAAACGAACCACACCGCCGTCGCATGACTTTATTAACCTTCACCGGCTATTTCAGACTTTTCCCTGAAAGTTCACGATAGAATAGTTTGCAAGAGCGCGATTATATACTGTGGAAGCGACTAGTGTGTAGATGAGTTTCGAGGAAAGTAAAAGCTTTGAAAAATCACAGTGTTACTAATGTCATTTAATATAGTGAATCAATATCACACATAGAGTGTCTTTTTTTCTTCTTCAAATATCAGCATGATTACAAATGTGATATTGATTTCCTACAACAGTCGAAGAAACAAAAAGTTAATATTAAATTTCAGACACAGTATTGCCTATTTGAGCTCTTTTTCGCCAATATAAATAGTTTAAATAATTCAATGACTCACTCATTAAGAGTCAAATGCATTTCTGAATGAATCATCCGTTTATTTGAACAAATCGGTTGAGTGAATGATTCAGTGACTCACTCATATCACTGCTGCCACCTACTGGCGGTTTTAATTTCACATTTAAAATATCTTCATGATATTAAAAAATATCATCAAATATCACCATAAAATCATTATGAATATCAATATTCCACATTTTGTGTTTAAAACTTCAAAAGATTCCTCTGAGCTTCATTAAACAGTCTCTATTACAGACATTACCCATACAGGTCGAGTTAGAATAGTTTGCGCGATTATGAACTGTGAAAGCGACTAGTGAGTAGGCTAGATGAGTTTCAAGGAACGTAAAAGCTTGAAAAAAATCATATGAGTGTGTTACTGATGTAGCCTATTTTACGTCATAGAATAAAATATGAAAATATTTAATTTCAGCCTTTTAATCCATGGCTTTACGTGCTAAATTACGTGCAACTCGCTTGTGGGTTTATGCTACAAAAACACGTCATCCCTGCAGCAAATGTGCACTAAGAAAGTGAGTCGGGTAAATGTTGATTTCTTGTTGACTTTAATCGAAGCGTGAGTGATTGATTGACATACTGACGTCAGCACTTCTTTGCCACAAGACAACCTTTCCATTTATATTGAGCATTGGAACAAGGCAAGTCCATCTCTTCCTCTTTCGGATGACTCTTGCTCACCTATAGGTCTATTTTAGCCACAGTTGTGTGCGAGTTCTCAAGCCTGCATGTTCAGGGTCTATGCTCTGGTTTTTTTTACGCTGCGAAAGGACATTTCAAAGTAGTACTTGGAGCGATTCAGGAAGTCACTTTATATTCGTTGGCGTCGAGGCTTCGGGAAGTTATTTTGCTGACCAAATCAAAACTACATTTGCTGTTTTAGCAATGGCCAAACGTGGAGAGTCACTGCTTTTCATTTCGCCATAGTAAAGCCATATGATATCACACGTGTCATCAAGATTATCTGGCCATTGCAACACTGTGATAACAGTGCTTGTGTATATTTTGTGTAATATGTAAAATGAAAAGGGAGTATTCTACAATACATAGAATTTTTAAAAGACGATATATAATATCACCACACCACTTGATGGATGCATCCTTTTTTGTTCCATGTGTTTATTTCAGTCGTCATAACTGTCAAAGATAAGACATTTTTGCCACTGTAATTATGTTCGCAACTTGCACTGTTTAATTTGCTGTTTGGCTAATGCAAACAACATATAAAGTCAACATGTAGTTCCGTCATTTGACGTGTTCTCGAGCGCAAAAATGTGTTGGACAATCAGGAAATCCTGATTGTCCAACACATTTCTGCGCTCGATGATAAATCGTATTATTATTCGGAATAATGAGCACGGATGAATCAAGACCGGGAATGTCGATTTTGAATTCTTGTTGATTTTAAATGATAAGCGTAATGTATTTTCTTTGAATCATCTTCATTAAATATTTCAGCTTGGACACTGATATCGTACTGTCTTTCTTTTTCTAACGAGTCGTATCATTGATAAATATCCTGCAAGTGATGTTCTTCCTCTCCTGGTGTGCAGAAGAAACTACTTTTGTGTTGGACGAAGAATATGTTTTACATTTCATAATCGGAGAGCTTGACTTGTGCTTTAGCTTTCATTTATTCGGAAACCGGAGCAGAACTCTCTAAACTCCTGACCTTGTTTTGCATAATCTCTCGTCCCTTGAGAAAACCGATGAAAGCAATATTGTTCCTCTTTATGGTGTTTCAGTGACAATATTGTTGAAATCGAATATAATTTATACAATGACAACACTTCAGGATAACAGTTGTTTAGTTGAGTTATATAATCTCTTGCAGAATCAAAACAAAAGAGGTTCAGAACAATCTTGTTATAAGATAAAGGGGAAGTTATGTTTAAATATATTCACTCTCACTTGTGTTTGTACTTTCTGTGGTCTCTATCATTGGTTAGTAACACCTGTTCTGCTAGTAACACAGGCTCTGTACAACATAAAGTACAGGACAACCAGCTTCGCCTTCGAAGGGGTCCAGGTCTGATGAAGATGGTGAGTTCTTAAATATTCGCTTATCAGTTCATTTCATATAATGATAATGTGTCAAAACAAAGATGCTCTGAGATAGTTACTGCTAGTGCTTAAAAAAACTATTATTGTGAGGTCAAAAAGAAGAAACAACAGTATGGTACAATTAAATAAATGGAAACAAAATGACAATAGAAATACAAAAAGGATGCAAATTGGTTGCAAAGGGATGTGATGACGTCAATATTAAGTAATCATATTCATAAGTGGTCTAATACAGGCTTCCATATTTTGCAAGTGCAATTGCAAAAAAAAAGCAAATTGTATGTTCATGGAAAATAATATATATATTGTTATATTCCATTTTTATATTCATAATTTATTTAATAATAATATATTTTTACATTTTGTGAACTGATTTTTTGTTGGGGGAATGGATATGTGAATATTCCACAAAAATCTGAAGCAGCACAACTGAAACACTAAAATAACATGTGAAAAGTATGAAAAACTCTGATAATAATCATAAATGTTTCTTGAGCATCAGATCCTCATATTAGAGTGATTTCTGAAGGGTCATGTGACACTGAAGACTGGAGTAATGATGCTGAAAATTCATGAATAAATTACACTTTACTGTATATTCACATAGAGAACAGATGATTTACATTGTAATAATATTTCACAATTTTTACTGTATTTTTGATAATTCAGCTTGATGAGTTTTCTTTCAAAAACAAAACAAAAAAACGTAGAAATGGAATGGCAAGAAACACATTGAATTAAACAAAATTCAAAGACTAAAGTGTATTTTCTTGTAAAACTCATAAATAATCAATTATTTAACTGTATTTCCTCTTTCAGGTGTCAGAGAGGATATTAATGATCTTTGCCGGTCTCATCTCCATGCGGACGGCAGCTGAATGGTACCCGAAAAGTCTGAAGTGTGACGTTTCTCAGGCTAATAACGGGACCGAGGTCAGCGTCAACTGCACTGAACGAGACCTAACCGAAGTTCCTCTGGGAATCCCAACGAACACCACCAACCTGACACTAACCATCAACCACATACCCCACATCAGGAACGATTCATTCCACGAACTGCACAACATCACCGAGATCGACCTGCGATGCAACTGCGTACCGATCAAAGTCGGCCCCAAAGATCGCGTCTGCACCCAGAGCGTGACGATCGACAACGGCACCTTCTGGAAGCTCAAGAACCTCAGGTCGCTTTACCTGGATGGGAACCAGCTGTCCAGCATTCCCAAAGGCCTTCCTCCCAACATAGTGCTCCTGAGTCTCGAGGTCAATAGCATCTTTTCAATTCTGAAGGAGAATTTGACAGAACTGACTAACATCCAAAGGCTGTATCTCGGCCAGAACTGCTACTTCAGGAACCCGTGCAACAGGTCGTACAACATTGAAAGGGATGCGTTTGTGCAGCTTGACAAGATGACTTTGCTTTCTCTGAAGTCTAACAACTTGTCCTATATCCCACACCAACTTCCATCAAGCCTAAAAGAGCTGTACCTTTACAACAACAATATTCAGACAATAACGGACGAGGACTTTCAGAACCTGACAGAGTTGGAAATACTGGACTTGAGTGGGAACTGTCCCCGCTGTTATAATGCACCTTTCCCGTGCACTCCATGCCCAAATAATGCTCCCCTTCAGATACACCCGGACTCCTTCAAGACTCTGAACAACCTAAAGACTCTTCGACTTCATAGTAACTCTTTAACGAACATACCTTCAAAATGGTTTCATAACCTGACACGACTTGTTCTTCTAGACCTCTCAAGCAATTTCTTGGCTAAGGAGATAACATGCGCCTCTTTTCCTTCTTTTTTGCCCTTTCTAGAAGAGTTGGATCTGTCTTTCAACTTCGAGCTCCAGGTGTATCCCGCATCGCTCAACCTTTCAAGATCATTCGACCGTCTCAAATCTCTAAGGGTCCTAAGAATCAGAGGGTATGTGTTTCAAGAACTCAAACTGGAAGACCTCAAACCATTGACTGAATTGAACGACCTGGAATTCATTGATCTCGGCACCAACTTCATCAAAATAGCGAACCTCAGTCTCCTGAAGAAGCTGAAAAGCTTCAGGATCATCAACTTGTCCGACAACAAAATCTCAATGCCGTCTGAAGGAGAATACGCGGCTTCGCACTCAAACCGCAGAGAAAAACAGGACGGTTCCCCGATGTTTCAGGGTGCCCAGTACCACAATGGACAAGTGAAGGATATCCACTATTTCCTCTATGACGAATATGCGCGCAGCTGCAAGTACAAGGACAAGGAACTCTGGATTACAAGTCCTTTCAACAACGAATGTAGCTCTTTTGGGAAAACGTTGGATATCAGTAGGAATAACATCTTTTTCCTTCATTCCAGATTTCTAGATCTTGATGAGCTGAGGTGTTTGAATCTCTCGGGGAACGCCATGAGCCAGAGTTTGAACGGCTCTGAGTTTGTCAAGTTGAAGAACTTACAATACCTGGACTTTTCCGACAATCGCCTGGATTTGATGTTCTCCACAGCGTTTCAGGAACTGAGCAGCTTGGTCGTTCTGGATATCAGCCGTAACAGCCATTTCTTCGTAGCTGAGGGTTTAACTCACATGTTGAACTTTACAAAGAGCCTGGTTAAGCTGAGAAAACTAATCATGAACGACAACCAGATATCCACATCCACCAACACCGAAATGGAGAGTTTTTCCTTGGAACATTTGGAGTTTAAAGGCAACCGTCTTGACATGTTGTGGAGGGACGGAGACACAAGGTACGTCAACTACTTCAAGAAACTCATGGCGTTGAAGACTCTCGACGTTTCTCAAAACAACCTGAACTTCATCCCGCAAGGGGTTTTCGAAGGTCTTCCAGAGACCCTCACAGAACTCTACATCACTAAAAACAAGCTGAAGTCGTTTAAATGGGAGGGTCTTAAAAACCTTAAAAACCTACAGCTGTTAGACCTCAGTGGGAATCAGCTAACGGATCTTCCCACGTGCCTGAGTAACTACACTAAATCAATCCAAACTCTTGTCCTACACGATAACCGCATTGCAAAACTGCCTCGGGATTTCCTGAAAGATGCATTCAGCCTCAAGGTCTTGGATTTAAGTTACAATCGCATCCAGTTCATCCAAGAATCGAGCTTCCCGGAAAACGTTATTGACCACTTGCAGACCTTGTACTTGAACAATAACCGGTTTGTGTGCTCTTGCAACGCCACGTGGTTCGTCCGATGGATCAACCGCACCTCGGTGAACATCCCGCGCCTCGCGACCGACGTAACCTGCTCTTCGCCGAGTGCCCAGAAAGGTCAGAGTGTCATTTTCCTAAACGTGCAAGCCTGCCAACACAACTCCCTGTCCATCATCTTGTGTATATTTCTGACCTCTGTGATTCTCAGCATTCTCACGCTCACCATCTCCAGCCATCTTTTCTTCTGGGATGTGTGGTACATCTACCACTTCTGCTTGGCCAAACTCAAGGGATACCGAAGACTGTCGTCCAACAGCACCGTCTACGACGCCTTCGTGGTCTACGATACGACGGATCCAGCCGTTCACGAGTGGGTCACGCAGGAGTTACGCATTCACCTGGAGGAGAAAGGGGATCCACGGATGCAGTTGTGTTTGGAGGAGCGGGATTGGGTGCCTGGTTGTCCTCTGATTGAAAACCTGTCCCAGAGCATTCAGCTGAGCAAGCGCACCGTGTTCATCCTGACGGGACACTATATCAAGAGCGGGAGCTTCAGGACAGCCTTCTATATGGCCCACCAGAGACTCATGGACGAAAGGAATGACGTAATCGTCCTGATATTCTTGGAGAGAATGCCTTGTCACTCGAAGTACCTCAAACTGAGGAAGCGACTGTATAAAAAGTCAGTCCTGGAGTGGCCGAGAAACCCTCAAGCGCAGAGATACTTCTGGTTCAGTCTCCGAAGCCTCATGTCCACCGAGAGGCAGCAGTACAACAAGCTCTTCCAGGAGACTCTGTGACTCGGCACAACCCACCACAGGCAAACCTTAATGCATTCAAATTTATTTCTCACATTATCACTGTTTATTGGCTATAGTTATGAAATCTGAGCAGAACTTGGTGGATATTTGACTGGTTTTGTCCGTCCTTCTGTTGGACTCTCACACATGAATTATGTTGAATATCTGTCAGCTGTAAATTGAACTAATACCAGTTTAGCTCAACCAGTGACCAAGCAATGCTTCATGTTGTTCAGTGTGTGTGAAAAGAGCATTAGCGATTACAGAAAACACACTTCAGCTCAAAGTGGAGGAGTCATTAATGTTTATTAATGTTATAGTCACTGTAGGAAGAGTTATTGTGTATAATATCTCAGTATACTTTATTCTGCTCTCCTCACTCACATAAATGAACTATAGTGTCCTGATCACACTAGTAAAAAAATATAAAAAAAAA